AGGAGAGAGGAGAGAGAAGAAAGAGACGGAGAGAGAGGGAGAGAGAGAAAACGGAGGAGGGAGGGAGGAGAGAAAAACGGAGGAGGGAGGGGGGAGAGAGAAAACGGAGGAGGGAGGGGGAGAGTATAAACGGAGAGGAGGGGAGAGGAGAAACGAGGATCGGAGGGGGAGAGAGAGAAACGGAGGAGGAGGGGGGAGAGAGAAACGGAGGAGGGAGGGTTAGAGAGGAAACGGTAGGAGCGAGGGGGGAGAGAGAAACGGAGAGGGAGGGGGGAGAGAGAAAACGGAGAGGGAGCGGGGGAGAGCAGAAACGGAGGAGGTGAGGGGAAGAGAAGAAACGGAGGAGAGGGGTGGAGAAGAAACGGAGGAGGGAGGGGGGGAGAGAGAAGATGGAGGAGGGGGAGAGAGAGAGAAACGGAGGAGAGGGAGAGAGAGAGAAACGGAGAGGAGGGGAGAGAGAGAAACGGAGGAGGGAGGGGGAGAGAGAGAAACGGAAGGAGGAGGGGGGAGAGAGAAACGAGGAGGAGGGGGGAGAGAGAGAAACGGAGGAGGGAGGGGGGAGAGAGAAACGGAAGGAGGGAGGGGAGAGAGAAGGAAACCGGAGGAGGAGGGGTAGAGAGAGAAACCGGAGCTGAGGGAGGAGAGAGAGAAACGGAGGAGGGAGGGGGAGAGGAGAGAAACGGAGAGAGGAGGGAGGAGATGAGACGGAGGAGGAGGGAGGGAGACGAGAGAGGACGGAGAGGAGGGAGAGAAGAGAGCAGAGAGAGAGAGAGAGAGATTTTCACGTAAGGATCGTGAGTCTTTAATCTCTTTTGCTGTTTAAGGAACTGAATCAGCTAGACGACGCCCATTGATTTGATGCGATCGCTTTCCTACGTTGCACATTTTCTCAAAGCGCTACGCCTGCATTGCATTGTCACTTAATTATATAACTTTATTCGGAATGTTAATTTTACCTGTTAAGTATCTGTCTGTACCGTAAAGGGCTGCGCCCCGCGGCGTTGCGTGATGCTATGCGCCAAAAAAACATTGCTCAAATCTTAGGTGCCGGATGCGCGCGCGCGGCGTGGTTCGCGCGGCTAGGCGCTGATGTTGGTAGGCCTGTTGTGGTGCCGGTGGCGCTCATACGGGCCAGGACTGCCCGCCTCGTTCCCTGCCCCGGCCATCTACTCGTATACGAGTTGACTCATCCCGGAGCAGAACCGTCGCCTCATCCGCCTGCTCACCCCGCCCAGGTGAGCTCTCGTTCTTCTTTGGACATGCTCATTTATTAATATAATTGGGCTTTCCCAATTCCTATCTGCCCTCGCCTCCCTGCCGGCATCTACTCGTATTGAGGTGGACTTCATCGGGCAGACCGTCGGCCTCATCCGCCTGCTCACCCCGCCCAGTGAGCTCTCGTTCTTCTTTGGACATGCTTCATTTATTAATAATATTGGCTTGTCCAATTCCTATCCTGCCCTCGTCTCCCTGCCCGGCCATCTACTCGTATGAGGTGGACTCATCCGGGCAGACCGTCGGCCTCATCCGCCTGCTCACCCGTCCCAGGTGAGCTCTCGTTCTTCTTTGGACAGCTCATTTATTAAATATTGGCTTTTCCCATTCCTATTCCTGCCCTCGTCCCTCCCGGCCATCTACTCGGTATGAGGTCGACTCATCGGCAGACCGTGGCCTCATCGCGCCTGCTCACCCGCCAGGTGATCTCGTTCTTCTTTGAGACTGCTCATTTATATATATATGGTTTTCCCAATTCCTATCTGCCCTCGTCTCCCTGCCGGCCATCTACTCGTATGAGGTGGACTCATCCGGGCAGACCGTCGGCCTCATCCGCCTGCTCACCCCGCCCAGTGAGCTCTCGTTCTTCTTTGGACATGCTCATTTATTAATATATTGGCTTCCCAATTCCTACCTGCCCTCGTCTCCCGCCCGGCCATCTACTCGTAGAGGTGGACTCATCCGGCAGCGCCGTCGCCTCATTCCGCCTGCTCACCCGCCAGGTGAGCTCTCGTTCTTCTTTGACATGCTCATTTATTAATATATTGTTTTCCAATTCCTTTCTGCCTCGTCTCCCTTGCCCGGCCATCTACTCGTATGAGGTGGCTCATTCGGGCAGACCGTCGCCTCATCCGCCTGCTCACCCCGCCCAGGTGAGCTCTCGTTCCTTCTTGCGGACATGCTCATTACTTAATATATTGGTTTTCCCAATTCCTATTCTGCCCCTCGCTCCCCTGCCGGCCATCTACTCTAGAAGTGGACTCATCCGGGCAGACCGTCGGCCTCATCCGCCTGTCACCCCGGCCCAGGTTGAGCTCTCGTTCTTCTTTGGACATTCTCATTTATAATAAAATTGGCTTTCCTCCCAATTTCCTTTATCCTGCCCTCGTCTTCCCCTCTCGGGCCCAATTCTTACTCGTATGTTGATGGTGGGGATCACTATTCTTTTCCTTTTCTTTTTTCCCTTTTTTTTTGTCCGTCTCTCTCCCTCCTTCCTCCGTCTCCTTCTCTCTCTCTCCCTCCTCCGTCTGTTTCTCTCTCTCTGTCGGGCGAAATTTCACAATCGCAGGGGCAGAATATGCAATGAAGGCGCTCTTAATACTCATACATCAGGATGCGGCGGGTTACGTTAGATCGCACTGTTCAGGGGCGCTTGACTCAGCATAAAATGAACATCAACGCGCGTCTATGTACGTAGGCATATGCCCATTCCCATCGTACTATGCCTAATGGCCTTTCACAAGTGCTGGCTATTGGTTGACAAAGTTTTATTGCAATCGGATTAAAGATACTGCAGCGCATTAAGTACAAACAAACGTTTTTTATATATTAGACTTCCTTTGTATTTTATTTATATATTTTTTTTTATATTTGTAGGTTGATTACAGCAAGGCTGTTCAAAGCGGCTCTCTAAATAAGTATATTACGGTGACGGATTATGACTGCAATTACGTCACGTTGTGGTGAAGCCAGGCAGCTCAGCGCCTCCGCCTGTTCGCCCCTCACGACACTTGCAAGGGCACAGAATAAGATAGTTTTAGTATTCAACCAGGTGTTAATCTTTCGATGCGTATTCCCTGCCCGCATGTCTTCGCAACACTGCGCGCATTACGATAAGGTGATGGGAATCACGCCTTGACGATGTTCCGGGTGAGTAAAGAAAATCTCTTGAAGTGATGAAATAAAGCATTGACATAGTGGAATTCAGTCATAGTTTCAGACAAAAGCAAAAATTACATTTTGGGCTCCAATGGCGAGACAGAGTACGGCGCTATCTTAATGCAGAACTGGCCCCTCTACATCTAATAACGTTAGTGAAACATGGAGGTGGTTGAATGTCTCAAGAAAAAGTCATCTGCATGTAATGGAAGGTGTGATGAAACAAGGTATACAGTATGGTCACATTGGAAAGGAAAATCTTCTCGTTAATGAGTGGGAAATGGATATTAGAAATACCTTCATTTCAACATAACAATGACGAAACAAAGCTTTGAATAAAAGAAATAATGACCTTTTAAAAGAATGTTGTGTTGTTTTAATAAATATTTACTGATAAGAAGGCAATTCTTTTCCTCTCTTTAGAAGAGTTATTCTGAAGCCTGTAGTTTCATACAAGACATAAATTATTCTACGGATTTAACATTAGTTCTTCAAATATTTGATGAAATTCACAAATGGCCAAATATTAAGTTAGTTTCCCTTATTTCACAATTTTAATGGGACTATCTATAAAGCATGAAAATATGTTTTTACCTCAACAAGACCTTTCTTAATAATTTTCTCAGCAAATGCTACAATATATTAAATCTTAATTTTTGTAGTGCAATAAAATGCAATAGCCTTGTTTTTAAAATGAGATTTTTACTTTCTAGCAATGGAGTAGAGAAAAAGTTATGTAATTATGACAGTCAAAAAGGCGCATTTTCGGAAGAGATTCTTGTTACAGAACCTGGCGAAAAAGTGGATATTCAGTTGCTAAATTTAGGGGGGGGATCCGGCAAAACTTGGTGAAGCCAGAATCCACATTTTGTGGGTCCCTGATAACAAAAGTCGAATGACTAAAACGTCCGACCGCCCACTCTAGCAGCTAAACCGTTCAGCCAATTTTCTCCGAAATTTATATTACCTTTTCGATCTGACTGCTGTCGTTGCCCCTTAAAATAAAATTTTCAAAACTGGCTTCATCGGTTTTGTTTAAATTTTGTTGTTGGATTGTGTGAAGACTATGGTCGTTTGGGATAATGGTGCAGGTCTAATGTTCGTTAAAAACAGCAATTTTTTGAAAATTTCAAAAGTATTCATACAACTAAAATATTAAAGAAGTAAATTTTTCCCATAATAAAATCTGTTCCTTGAAGATATATTTTGAAACACGTTCATGTACAAATTTTGAAATTACTGTTAATTTGTAATTTTGCGTTAAAATAGGGCGAGAAAGCACTTGTTGCTTTAGCACCACTAGTTTAAAATTTAAAATGCTAAATTCTACAATCGCTTCGTGTATCTCGTGGCTTCATAGCGCTATGTGTGCGCCTCCCAGCGCCAGTGACTGCACCTGGTGTGTGGGAAGGGAGCTGCGTTCAGTGTCGCCAATTCGGTGCCGGGCGACAGCAGCAGCAGTGCTACGTCTGGGAAGCTAATGGCCGCGCCGGCGGATTCCAGCGCCGCATTCCCAGCTGAAAAGGAAAACACCAGTTACCTTTGGACAGTTCGGTGCAAAACAAACCAAACCAAACCACATTAAGCGATTTACATTTGGTGTCTACATGAGATGCATTAGGAACATTGTCAACATGAGATCCAAAGTTTACAAAATTAAAAATACTAATAAATGTTGAGAGTGATGAATTTCTCTGTGGCCCCACAATGCTCAACGCGCTGCCCCACGACTGGCTTGCTGCCTCGGGCGAGCGAGCGGAGGCAGCCGAGCGCGAGGGGGAAGACGCGCGGGGAACGCGACGCCGCGCCCCACCTGCCACGCCTCCCAATGGGCCCGAGCGCCACGGACACTTTGAGTCAAGTCAGTGCCGTGGCGAACAGTGCTTTCTAGTTTGTAGTGCAGTGCGGTGCGAATGAATGGCGATGTATATAATGCAACAAGTATGAATAATGTGTGAATGAAAATATACATCAAAGTGACCACGAATGAAACTAGGACACCACGTAGTATTGACCCCCCCCCTTTAGCTGCTTCATATGTAACGCAGCAGCAGACTGTACACGTTAGAAAGAAAACTATATTCCACGAGCGTACGATGGGACCTATTATTCACGAGATGCTTACGACACGATCGATGGAGGAGCAAGTGCTGGAATTTCTACAAGTGAATAATAACTACTTTACGCGCGTAGAAGACTATACTTTCTCTACGACCTGACTGTGAAATTTGTGTTTTAAAAATACTCAATAGACCCCTTAACCTTACATAACGGCTACAAAACACTCCATGTTCTGTGACCCTCAAAACACAAACACGCATAATGTTTCGTGGTTCACTTGTCTTACAACATTGCGACCTGCGCACAATATAATGAATTAAGACGAATGTGAGTGATTGGCAGCCAGGTGAGAATATTATTCTGGCACGGCTTGTAGGATAGTCATCATTACTGCATCCCATAACGTGAGAAATTTGTACATTCTGGAGTAGTCTTAGAGCAAATAAATTCCCGCCTCCTCAATGGTACTGCGGAGGGGAAAAAAGGAAAAACAACAACAAAAACAACAGAAACAACGCGCTCCAATCACTGGGGTTGTAATACTAAACTCAGACTACTCGTACTACTGTCTCAAAGTCTGGTTAACATGTTTTTACTTTCCCTATACCTACGTATATACGTAGTACAAGGAAAGTTCTGTAATAACAAATAATATTTGCGTTCTGATATTAGAAAACCAAACATTTAAGATTTAAAAAAAAGGAGACTTTGGTTGGCGATAAATTACAGCTGGCAAGATATGGCAAGTTTGTATAGCTAGCCGAGACCAAAATAATAGAAAACTAATACGGGAAAATCTGTGCATTCTGTAGCACTTCTAGTTTCGTTATAATAACAAACCCCTATGTCGTGGGAATGCACACGTAGATATTACTAAATTTCATTTTATTTATGAATAACGTGGGTTTGAATACCTAAAATCATATATACCTTACGTAAATTTTAAGTGTAAAGCTTTTCGTTTAATTTAACAGATATGATTGATATTTCAATGCGATATTCAGACTACTCTTTATAACGTTTTACTATTGTTCCGCAACACATTATGTTTTTGGAAATGTACGTACCGAGTGATATTAGGTTATTACATTTACAGAAGTTTACAACAACATTTATGAAAAATACTTGATCCACACAGGAAATCATATTTTTCATAAACAAAGATATATAGGAGAAGGCGTTTTCTTTATTCCTTTTTTATTGACATGAAAGTTTTGTTTAAGATATTTTATTTATGAATTGATGAAATTTTAAAAGAGACAAAGATTAATTCCCAACTGCCAAATTATAGAAAAACAAAATAATTATATAAAATATAATTTGCATTCCACATATAACGAAATGGCGAAGAGAAGAAAATATATACTCGATATACACCATCAGGTTGAATGAAACACGTTTCAATACGATCACTAGTGAGTTCATTCCACGTAGGCAGTGAAACCCGACAACCAATGAAGGGGGGATGTATGTAATAATGATCTGATTAAAAACCGGCCGCAAGTCTAAAAAGATATCTATAATATTTCTCTTTGATTTAATGATATAGCAATTGTTAAAACAATTTCGTTGAGTATATGCTGCCGTCTCTTCCTTACTGCCTTCACCTTTATCTTTACTAATTTTGACCTTCTGCACTTCCGTATTTCATCCTTCTTGCAGACGAATCTATTGAATTGATCCTTTTGATTGCAATTTCGAAGAAAAAAAATGAAAGTTTCGTCTCTCATTAAGGAGAAACATTCTACAAGTTCTTAAATAAAATGTATTAGTTATTTTTTAAGTTATATTAGAAAAAAAAAGAAAATTATAAGTCTTCTGAATTCTTCATAATCTAAACACACAATCGAAATTATCTTCACTTTTCTTCATAAATGCAAAACCGAATGTTGGGGCAACTAATTCTTAGTTCAATGCGTTATGGTATTTTCGTAATGTTATTTTATATCAACACACTTCTCACAACTTCCTTTTGAAAATTTGACTTATGTCGTAGTTTTATGTTCCGAGTCCAAAGACAACTGTTGTGCAAAAATGAACTTATTATATGAAATTCGTCAAGTGTCAACATGAAATCCTAATTTTCTGGCTGTCTCTACCACAAATAATCTCCAAGAAAGAATTTACGAGTTTTAAAATATCCCGGAGGACGGAACCTTCCAAAACAGAGAAGGAATTATCAAGTTTGAGGGAGATCCCCTGGCAAGTAATTAGAAAAACCGGCTTTGATGAAGTGGTGGGACCAGATCCAACACATCTTTTCTGCACAACTGAAACGCGTCTTTCAGATCTGTAGATTGGAGATTATCTGATCCTAAGACAAGCTTTCTCGTAAAAAACTGTCTCGTATTATTTTCAAGGCTTGAAAATAATAATAAGTATTAATAGTTATTAGTCTACTTAAGTTATTAATTGAATTAAAATATAAATGAAGATACTCTAACATGCTGCACTGCATTTTTCGTCATGACATTGATTTTGCAATTTACAAGATATATTGTCACAGTTTGATATTACTCTAACCGGTAGGCCATGCTATTATCATTTTAATAACATGATCCTGAAAAAAATTACTCATATTAAAATGTTGGTATTAATTGTGCATTTTATATTCCCTCCCAAACAATCTTCGAAGAAAAAGTTAAGCATGCTGTTGTTAACTCCAATTCAGACGTGCCTTCTTATTTGTTGTGTTAACAGTGTAATGTACAATCAATATTAACAATTAATGATAAATCTGTTGGAAACTTAAAAGTAGATTTATATGAAAGATTAAACAAATTTTACATTTGCTCACCTCCACAAAATGAGATGAGCAAATTACATTCATATTTGCAATGCATACAAGACTAGTAAAAAATGAAGGTCAACCTGTTTTCACACCTGCTCGTTCAACATTACATAATATTTGTTGTTTTGGTCACTTCATGATTAAAAGGAACCCTCTTAGCTTTTCTCTAATTTTTTAAAGGAACTATTAAATAATATACTCTTGCAAAGTATGAAATGGAACAAGTGAATGTATAAATGGGCGATATCCAAGAAAATTAGCTCTCAATTGATGGCGTTGCAAATAAATATGAACTCGTATTTTTAAAAAAATGGTAGAGCACCAATAAAGTTGATACAAATGAAAGAAGAGGTTAAAAAACTTACTAACAACGGCTTGATGTATGTTTGCTTACTAACACATATGGCATGTTTTTGATATTGTAGTAGAATCTAACCAAACTGAATTTGAAGTGTTGAATTACTCATCGGATCTCTTGTTTTCACTGAGAGTTCACTTGAAATTCGTGGCCGGCGTATTCAATGTTCATTGTTACATAGAATCCAAGATTATACAACAGAGTAAAAACACACCTCAATACTAGGTTAAAATATTCGAAATACCTGTTTTGTCATGTAGTACAGAGAGCTGTGATTTTGGCTGCAAATGGAATAGCTGTTCTTAGAACTTTGATAGCATATTGCTCGCCTAAACACTGCCATCGTACACCTTATCAGAAGATAACGTCTCAAGTGATAATATGATCCTTCCGTAGCCGATTAGTATGAATTCACAGAGTTACTATATCAAACACTAAATCAACTATATCAAATGTTTAATAGCAGTTCCATTTGAGAAATGCAACGGGTCCGAATCGGACCCAAAGAACTAATGTGTGAAAAAATCTTAACTCCTTTCATATTGAAAAGAAATTAATATCATTTTTACATGGACAGTCAAACAATGATAGACAGGGTGTAACAGAACAAACGCACAATTTTCTTAAACTTTACAAGAGATACAAATTTCATTTGGGTCGAAATGGACCCGAGGACCACAGCTGGATTAAGATGCAATATGTGCCCTTTAAAATCCATTTCATTTAACACACCACCCTCGTAGATATAATCTGGATAACTGTTGGTGAAACATTACAGTTAAATACAGAAACAACAATAAGATCCCGCATTTTGTATTTCAAGGGTCATTTTCCTGATACATCACTAGGATTCATTTTCCTCGTGCAGATATTTTTAGGTCTCATCAGACTGACCTTCTCCTCTACCAAGAACCGAATAACTCGTTCATGGAATGATGTTAATTACTAAGAGCATACAGCAACAAACATGTGAAGTATCCCTTGTAGCTCTTGAATATCTAGTTTACACCGGGTGGTGTATTGAAAAAAACAACAACTTGAACCTAGCTTCTGAAGTTCCCTCTCTCTTTCTCTCCGGTATTTCCTAATGTCACCTCCTGACAACACGGCAATATATTGGAAGAGATATTATATTCAATTAGTTTCAGCACATCACACGCACGTCATTAAGTGATTCATATGTATTTTTTTACTCATGCACATAAAACTCGTTATTTTCACTCGTCAAAGCAGAATGTACATGGCATTTTCAGAGAAACGTGCACAGGTGACCTTCAGTCAACAGTCATGCTATGGAATGAATCCGTAAACCAATGACAAAAAATACGAAACCAACTCTTCAGAGTCATCTTGCGATCAGGAATAAAACTTTTGAAGGTGGTTTTCACCGCTTGCGATTATACAACCGTGCCAAGACACAAGGCTAAAACAGTGATTGGACGCACTGTTGTAGAGGTAGAGGGGCCGTGGATCTCTTGAGAATTTTGAAAGGGACCTCGTAACCTCACACAACAAAACCGTTGACTTCCGTAAATACGTCAAAACCCTGATTTTCCCCTTATTAACGTGAAAACTTGGGGAATTTTAGATGACATTTCGCACAGGGCTGTCCAAAACATCTAGCGATCCAGTAAATGGTTGAATATAATCCCAACTGTGTTTATTAACTTCATTCTCTTTGTGGTATGTTTTATTTATTTTCTAGTAAAGTATGTCATGTGCAAATAAATAAGTAAAGATTAGCGGATCAGGGGGCACAGAAATGTAGTATCTACCCATTGTCTTACACTTTGTACATCTATGCACCCCAACCCAGGGAGATATCTGCACCAACTCCGTGCGTTGGAAGATGTCGACGCGGCTAAATACTATAGAACCAATACATGACACTCTGCGATATAACTGAAGTCACCTGCCTTATCTGTCATAACCATTGTGTTATCAAGGACGAAGTGTGTAAGTTTGAAAGTTTTTTTTTAGTTTACTTAAGCTTGTTTACTTCCGTTCCGCAGAATGATTCGAAAGTTATTATATGCGTATTGAAATTTGAAGTAGTCGCCGATTTTCCAAGTCACGTCACAAGGCCTCGTGGATAATGTGGGTACGGAGGGTAGCTAAACCCATACTGAAAATTCCCAGAGGGTAAAATACGCGCTCGCAATTTGGGGGGAGAGAAATATTTCATAAACGTCAATTTCCGGAAAGGAAGTTTCTCGGTATTAAAATATGCGATCAACTACGTTGTAAGAGTAGCTCAATAGTATTGTGATTTTACGTGTTTACAGCGACATGACCTACAAAAACCATTTTTAAAATTCGTTTAATGAGTTTATATCAAAAAGAAAAGTGCAGCGTTGTTTTTGCATTGCAGAAATGAACATGTTCGGAGGGGATGTGGGGGGCGGGGGGAGACCAATTGCCGGTGGTGCTCGTCACTAGCTTCGCTCGAGAGCAGGTGGTGTTGGTTGCGGCTCTCACCTGCAGGCTGGTGCGGGGCGGCGGCGGTGCGGCTGGCGAGGCGGGCCTCGGGCGACTGGCGCAGACTTCCTCCTCGGCCGCCGAGGACGCCCCGGCCAGAGGGCGCCTCGGAGGCCCGGTTTGCGCAAGCGGCCCTCGCCGATAAACACACCGCGGAGGACTGAGCCCCTCCGACGCACCGCTCTCTGCTCCACCTGCGCACCACCCGGCTGCGTCACGAACCACGTGACCGCAGCGCGGGCACTTGATTTGAATAGTCCGACCAGGCGCTGGCATTTTGAAAGTGGCATAAACCAACCATTTTCGCACGGTAACGAACCAAAAATAACAGATGTTCAAGATGCAATATTTAAAAGAAATGCTTCATAAATCTGTTTCAATGTCTTGTAACGAGATGATAATTTTGGTGTCTGCATTCAAAATTCCCGCTAAGATTGTGACGCAAACTGGAGCCTGAAGCGCATTGGCTGAAGTCCGACAAGATGCGCAAGAGCCTCCTCTTGATACACGAGACAGCCAGCGCGGAGTAGTGATGGGCGATTTAATCGCCATTAGCACAGCAATCGATTATTTTATACGATTAATCGAAAAATTAAAAAAAAACGATTATTTTTACACCGATTAATGTATACATCGATTAATTTTTCCAATTTTTATCTTGATAATTTTAATTCAAATATTAATTTTCAAGACGAGCAAAATATAAAAATACATCTCTACTTTTGAACTTTAGCAACGGAATTCGTCTGTTCCCACTGCAAAACAACAGAGACAAATATATGCGATTAATTTAACCTTAATTAAACTAATAAAATGAAACGTAACTACGTATACCTTCATTTATTTATCAAAAATACGTTCTAATATTTCAGTGATGATATTAAATTCAGTATGAAATAAGAAAGAGACAAAGTTACCACTTTTCCGAGAATCGTCCTCAACCAAGAACATTGTTAGATTATAATTATTGATGTTACTATTCTAGAAATTCTACAATCATTTTCTTTTTAAAGAGACTTACATTCGTTTGTCTCATGAGTACGTGTTTATAATGAATATTACTTAAATAAAGAATAAACAAATATTCTTAATTAAGTTGTGCCGGACTTCTAAAAATACCAAAAATCAACAGCGGTTTATGGAAATACTTTGAGAGCATTGAGCCAAAAGAAGTTTGTGGAAACACCACACATTATTGGAACCACTTATTGACTCACAATATTAAAAACCCAAATTTTTAATCCAAAAAATTCGAAATTTAAAAAAAATTGAAAAATCAATATATTATATAAGTTAATCTTAATCGTTCCGAATTAACCGATTAACTTATTATTTATTTGTTACCGAATTAACCGATGCGATCTAATAAAATAATCGATAGGTTCCCTCCCACTCTTTCCCGCATTTTCAATCTCTTTTGTCGGACAACTCCTTCCACAGAGAAGAATCTTTGGTAAAGCCCTTGCCTGAATGTAGGAAGCTACTGCTGTACTAATATTTCTGGAACTTTTTGAAGCTAGTGGTATAACATACTCTATACTACGTATAGAGACGTATGTACGAACATACTACTCTTTTGAAAAAGTAAAATCAGCCCCCAAATATGTGAGATATCAACACAGGAAAACTGAGCAAATAATTGTGAGTTCAAAGGGACCCACATTTCATTGTGTACAGCCTGCAGTAAACTAGAATGTTAAATTGCATTAAGTCCAGCACATGCAGAGAGGGGTGAATTTCCAACCTGCGACAGCTAAAGCCAGGCTGCTGAGAAAATTTGTTAAAAGAGAAATATTAATGAAATATTTAAAACCATATACATTGCAAATGCTCGTACATTTAAGAAATTATAATTTATGAATTGGGTATAGGTAAAAGTTAATTTGTTTGATTTTAAATGAGTCAGCTCCATGAATTCCATGAACCCTTTTTTAAGTTGTTCAAAAGCTCAAAATAAATTATGTAATAATTGAACATTTTGATAATTCATAGCGAAGATAGTTAATTTTTACTTCGGTTATTGTTAAATACTAATCTAATGACTATCCATGGATTATCGAATCTAAGGATTAAACAGAAGTCACGTTAGGCACAGTGCCTAGGGCCTACGAACATGAGGGCCCTACCATAGGGCCTCCTGATAAAAAATGTTTAAAGTTTATTTCAGAACTAAAAACCAAAGGCCAATCAGTCAGATCGATTGAGGAATATAAATGTTGGAGAAAATCGGAGGAACGGTTTAGCCACTTGCGTTGTTTACTGACGGACGGACAGGCAGACAGATGGACAGCAATGCTTCTATGCCCTCAACTGTACCGGTTACCCTATGCTCTTTTTAACACGAATTACATGTTACTTCTCGTCTGAAAATGCAATGCCAAATGCTCTATACGTTTTCATGCCTAAGAAAATTTCCCCAAATTGTTTTTACTAATGCTACTGCAGACGTGCACCATTCTCTTAAGCGTTCTTTATGCTATCTAAGGTGACAATTTTATCAAAAGTGTTCTGAGACTTTTAAGAAAAATATAGGTTAAAGAAAATAAACATTTTAGAAAAATCGATCATGAACTTATTTGAAATCTAATTTTGATGCACACATTTCATTAAGAAAAAATATTGTATCTTCACAATTGTAGTTATTGGAAAACGCCAAACAAATTGTGAATTTGTTCAATTTTCGAAAAATCAGAGTTATACACCATCATGAGGCTCTCACCATTTTCACGCAGATCTTTCAGTCAATCCAACAACAGTCGTTTTTGAGAAAAAAATGGTTTATATAAATTTAAGAATTGCCTATATTTCACTCTAAGTTACCAGGACCCTCTAATAAGAGTTTCTCTGCCGTAAATTTGCAGTTTTTTTGCGCAGCATTACATAACTTTCTTTAGACTGAGTTAGCGGTAGCGAGAAAGTAATAACCACTATAATTTGTATATTAAAATATACACATTATA